CAATATGGATCCCTTTACAATCACAAGGATGAAACTTACAGTTTTTTTAAAAAACAACGAGGAATCCTTGTGGCACTTTAGAGACTAACAAATTTATTTGGGCATAAGCTTCGTGGGCTAAAACCCACTTCATCGGATGCATGGAGTGGAACATACAGTAGGGAGGTATAAATACATAGCATATGAAAAAGATGGGAGTTGCTGTATATTTATACCTCCCTACTGTATGTTCCATTCCAGGCATCTAATGAAGTGTGTTTTAGCCCACGAAAGCTTATGCCCAAATAAATTTGTTTGTCTCTAAAGTGCCACAAGGACTCCTCGTTGTTTTTTAAAAAAACTGTAAGTTTCATCCTTGTGATTGTAAAGGGATCCATATTGATCATGAGTAGAACAGTGTACAGTTTTGCATTGGAAGAAAATTAAGACAACAGCTTGATTACAAGAATGATGGGATCCTGTACAAAACTATAAGCTAGTCAAATAACTAGTACAGATAAGAGTAGTTGCAGCTAAGCTTTTTGGACTTCAGAGCACATTTTCACATTTTACAATTTTTTTGCTAGTTTTCTCTTTGCAGAATTTCTGCAACCCATTTCAAATTATCTGATGTTTAAAAAGGAAAAAGCATTTATTAGTGTGTTCTATTTTGTTTTCTAATTGTCAATAGGCTCAAATGATTACCAGTTTCTTGTAACTTGGTCTTTATACTCTATATACACATACATTTAAAATGAAATCTTGGCTTCTTTGATGTTGAATAGCAAGACTTCCCATTGACTTCAATGGGGACAGGATTTCAACTCTGGTGTTCAGATCACTATGAAAATTATGCAAGTAAAGTACATTGAAATGGCTACAGTGTTTCTAGGTGCTGCGTCGCTGTTACTATCACCATGATGGCATATCTAACATACTGTACATCTTATATGTGGAATTTTAATATAACAATTGTAATATGGCTAAAGATTAAAACCCCAATTCTGCCCTGAGAACAGGGCATTTAGACCCTGATGCTTGTGCAAAGCTGCACTGAAGTAATTAGGAATCTCATGGGTGTGGGCAGTGCTCCCTGCAGGACTGGGGCCTAAGGCATTTTTCTGTGCATACTTGAGTTTGAAGTGTGACTATTCTTTGTGGCCAGTCTCTGTTCTCACATCATGTAGTGCCGTTTTATTGTATTAGAAACAACTTTCAAAAGGAAAGTAAAATGTTAGTATTATGAACAACTGGTCAAACCCAGCTCCCATTTGTTATAAGGTGCCACAAGTCCTCCTGTTCTTCTATTTGTTATAATGTGATCCCATCATTTCAGCTACTAAAATTTTATTCTTTAATGACCTGTTAAGAAAACGTCACCTGAGTCATAAACTAATTCAGTAACAAATAGTCAGAATAACAGACATAGTTCCGTTCCAAATAAAGTTTACATTATTTTAAAGCTGTTTCCCCATCATTAGGTCTTTCCTTACCCCTCTCTCCAAAGCATTTTCCATAATCATCTGGTATGCATTGGAAATTCCCTTAATCTTAATCCATAAAAACATTCCAGCAGTAGGGATGTTCCACTCCGCCAAACCTGTAAATAAAATATGGACATTGAGTAAAAGTACATCTTGCATCTGTAATGAAAACACCAAAATGGGAATATTGCCATTGATATCAATAGGGACAGGATTTCACCCATAGTATTATATAGAGTTTACTCCATCAGCTTTTTTGTAGCACTGATTTGCATGAAGACCTTGGCCTTCTTGGCCCTTTACACACGTATCCAAGCAGTTACCTTGCCTTTCCTTGGGGTCAAAGCTATATTTTTCTAATCAGTAAATGCTCCAGATAAGTCAGATACTCAGTTCAGTTTACCTTAACTAAAGTAAGATCTATTGGCAACTTAACAATAATAGAAAACCATAAAATAAAGCAAAGATTAGTTAAACACAAACACATGACAGATGAATATGATGCAGAATGTCAGCAGATTGCTGTGTTTTGTAACCATTTAGTGCCAAAGTTATCTGGACTTACAGCACAGTAGTAGTTTGCATAGTCTCTCACACTGAAAGTGCTGTCTCTAGAATTACATGCCTCTCCAGAAGAAATAGTCCTCACAGAGAGTGTGTTTGTATGTAACCTCCCACTTTTTACAATAGGTCTCCCCAGCTTCATTTGTTGACATTTGCCTGTCGGCAGTATAGTTAATTTAATGGTAGGCTGTAAACTCATTAACAATGAGGCAAAGAACATTCAGTTCTGATGTTAGCTTATGTTAGGTAAGGTCTTCCTGTTACCAGCATACATAGAATCATAGAAATGTAGGACTGGAACAGACCTCAATAGGTCAGCTCGTCTAGTCCCCTGCACCGAGGCAGGACTACATATTATGTGGACCATCGCTGTCAGGTGTTTGTCTAACCTGTTTTAAAAAACCCTCAGTGACAGAGATTCCACAGCCTCCCCAGATTATTTGTCCTGGTGCTTTTTTCCCCCCTTAGACTTGCTTTCCATGCAATCTTACCTACTAATTCTCTGAGTTGGCTAATGTCTGCCTTTTCTGAAGTCCACTGTGTTTATTCTGCTGTTTTTCCTTCAGACCGTTCCTTAGAATCATGAATGCTGTCATTTCATGATCACTTTCACCCAAGCTGTCGTCCACCTTCAAATTCTCAAATAAGTCCCTCCTTATTTTTCAGAATCAAATCTAGAGCAGTGTCACCACTAGTCACTTTCTCCATCTTCTGTAATAAAAGGTTGTCTCCAATGTGTTCCAAGAACTTGTTGGATAATCTGTGCCCTCATGTATTGTTTCCTCAACACGCCCAGGTAGTTGAAATCCCCCATCATCACCAAGTCCTGTGCTTTGGATGATTTTGTAATTTAAAAAAAGCCCCATTCATCTTTTATGCCTGGTTAGGTGGTCTTCTAGAGTAGACTCCCTAATAGGACATCCCTCTTGGCCACTTGGGTAATATAATTATCCCCTGAAGGATTTACTTCTTGGCAGTTCCTGCATTCTTGTCCATTACCTGCTTCTCTGCATTGTTAAAGAACATAAACAACATCTTGAGGTAGACCTAGGTTGCCAGGCCATTTTCTGTGGCAGCTTACTTCCAAACATGGACAGTAAAAACACAAAACAACCTCCCTGTCCCCTGTATAATAATACACTTTCACCTGTCTCTCAAGCAAATAGATGAGAATTAATTTAATGTTGTGAAAGCAATCCTAAACATACGGATTACTGGAGGCAATCAAACATCTTGTTAACTAGAGTTTCCTTTTACAGTAGCTCTGAAAATTGATGTTACAGATAGATGGCGGGGTACTTGAGATGTGTCCCAGGGAGCTTATTTACCCAAAGGAAAGTGAATGACAATGTCTGTAGACTGGTTTATACAGGTCTAAATCCTGTACTGTAGAGTAAGCCACTGACTAGAAAATCATGCTCCGAAGGGAAGGAAACATACACAATACACCTGACATAACAGAAGATTCAGATACATACAGGAACGTCTGGATTTGGTTGTGGGAGCCTAGCCTCATCAGCCATCTGCATGTGATGCTGGATCCACGGAGTGGTGCAATTGTGACAGTACAGTGATCAGTCAAATCCACTGTGCTTTGTATAGCGAGGGAGCAACCGCAACTGTAAGTCATATGTGCACAAGCTCACAGCCTGAAAATCTACATTGCAGTACTTCAGCCCAAGGACACTAGCCTCCAGCGGCACCGTGGTTCAGATGCTTCTACAAACATATGGGTCACACATGCCAAATGCCTGGCAGGCAGGATGAAGTAACATAGTGACAACTGGACAAACACAATCTTTCCCCCTCTTGTTCAATGTATGTGAGTAGCCACTAAAGCAAACAATGAGGTGCCATAGGCTTCTGGCCATCAGTGTACTACTGGTGACACTCAGGTCTGTGTCTTATTTTCATTAGGCCTAAATGGAAGTGTGTCCCTATTCATCAAGTGTATGTCAGAGAAGTGGCTCTGGATGATGAAATCGATCTGGTTTACGTATGTTCTGCTCTGCCTGGATAAGATGGAAGCGATGCTCTGTTGGCAGGGGCAAAACATTTCGAGGAGGTATTTATTACAATCTTTGAAGCTGTGAGAGATCTAAGCCCTAGTTATTTTACAGATCACCTCTCCCTCTAAATCTTGCCTTTGCATTGGTGAGAACACTTCCACTGTTTGATCTACAGGAGAAGCTCACAGGAGCTGGGAGCAGTGATGTACTCACTGGCAGGCTCCCACCTCTGCAATTTGCACCCACTGGAAATCCAGCTGACCAAACCTGGCAACATTTGGAAAGAATCAGAAAAAGGCATCTTTATTCATGCTTTCTACTAATTGGAATTTACTTTTACAGTCTCCCTGCTGGTATCCTCCTGTTTCATGGCTTGATAGCTATGAGGGGCACTGAGTTTATGCTCCCATTGGGGAAATGGTTCTTTGCTGGTCTAAACTATGTAAAGTGCACCCAGATACTTCTATGGTGGTGCCTTGTATATACATTTAATAATCATTTTTATGCTAATTTGACTTTGCCAGAATTTAAAATGTAATCTTTTCCATGCTATGTGTTTGTGGAATTAATTGCTGATTATCTTTATTCAAAACAAACAAACAAAAAATAGGCAGTTTCCATATTCACCTCTTTCCACCATTCTTCTTGATTATATGGTCAATGTCTACAACAAGTTTTAGTCAGTTTTAATTTTAGCTCTTCTCAGTTACAGTTAAGCTTCACTTTTTAAAGTCTTGCTGGAGCTCAGGTACTAAACAAACAGGCACGACAACCAAATGATATTGAGATTACTAGACCATAAACATTACCTAACTTTTACCTTATGTAGCCTTTCTGGTTCTTTTCCCAGAATGAAGTCTAGAATATGCTCTGATCTTACAGCATAAGTGGAAGTGTCTAGAGATCCAGGGTAATGGAGCTGCTAGTACCAGAGCATTATGGGGAATGGTTTTCCTATCACATGAATTTTCAGTTTCAAAAAATTTCCCCTTCCACTTCAAGACTAAACTGAAAAAGAGTGAATATAAAAGCCACTATGAAGTATAAGATCTGAAAATGGTTTTACTTCACATAGCAGGTACAGCAAAAACTGTATTCTGCCAAGTGGTTTTTTTATTATACGTGGAACTGGTATTGACCCCTATAGTTAATGCTTCTATTCAAGGCTGGCCTTATAGGTGGATGACATGGGCAACCGCCCAGGGTGCTGTGGTAAGCGGAGCACCGTGGTCAAGAGGCAAGGAGCAGGGTGGGCCTGGGGTGTGAGGCCAAGGAAAGGAGCTCGGGGCAATGCAGGGAAGAGGCAGCGGGGCCTGGTAGGGGGAGTGGGGAGCCTGGGGATTCAGTGGGGGCCACCTGGGATGAATGGGGAGTATGGGGAGGCAGAAGGAGCCAGGGGTGATGGGAGGCCAGGGAGGCAGCGGGGGGTCAGGGGAGCCAAAATACAAGTTTGCCCAGGGTGCCATTTTCCCTGCAGCTGGTCCTGCTTCTGAGGGGCTCCTTTTACTTACTGGCTGCACTGGTCTGGCAGTCCAAAATAGCCAGAACCCTTCCAGCCATATTCCCAACCCCAACATGCCCCTTTTTTTCTAAGGTGCACATGCTGGCATGCTGCTGTGCCACAGGCTGTATGTGTGTCTGTCTGTGTGCCATTTCACTGGCCCTCAATCACCAGGGAATCCCCTTTCCACTGGGGATATGCCTTGGTTGGGAAATCCAGATGGTTTCTGGCCCACTGATTCCTCCAGAGTGGAGTAAAGGTGCCAGGATTCAGTCCAGAGCTGGGACTATAAACTCTGCCCCAAAAGGGGATTATGTAAAGTCACCTTTGCTGTGGAAATTGTTTGCAGGATCAGAAAGATAGTCCTCAGTCAGTTTAAACCCAGCTATTTTATGTCAAAAGAACTTTCCTTGTCTGTTGTCCCTGGAACCAGTTTGAACCAGTACATGCAAACCTCCACAGGGGTTGGTACCTCTCTGGAGCTATTTACACCTGAGTGATTCATCTTACTCGCCCCTGTGAAGAGGCATGCCCTCACACTGACAAAGAGGAGACTAACAAGCTCCTCTGGGCCTGTTCAACGCCAGTGAGGTGCATCTGCAAGGTTTGTTCTGAAGTGGGGGGCGGTTAAAAGGGAAAACTGGCCAGAGGAAGGGGCGGTGAACAGGAAGAAGACTGCTCCATCTCAGATAGCAAAGACAGTCTCACTGTATCTTTGTGGAGTGGCCACCCCCCTGAACTCGGAGTCTGTACCCAGTTTCTTCTCTATTCTCTGCTGCCCCCCACTCCCACGTTGAGCGAAGCATTCCTCAGAAACTTCATTAAATCAACCTTGCCAAGTTCCTGAGCTTTTCCATAAGAGTGTACATTATGGCCTTTAAGTAGTGCAGCTAATAAATAGGAGTTGGAATCGGAACTGAAAGGTGAGTCAATGAATAGCAGAACACAGAGGCAAGATAATACCAATCAATGCGTGCACCTTTACTCTGCTCTCTATTTTTTTTTTATAAACCAACTGCTCCCTGTTATCCCCATTGTTGTTTAGTGGGGGGTAACTTATCTGATGTAAACCAGATTCAAACCAGTGTAAAGTGTCCACGTGCAAAGTTGCTTGGCTTAACTTAATAAGTGCAATATTGCACCTTTAGTTAAAATGGTGAAACTTTGGCATGTTCACAAGCTCTAAGTTAAACATTACCCTGGTCTTTGAGTTTCTGCCCTACCATCTATCAATCTGTGCTGTTCCATAACCTATCTGCATATACATTAACACCAATAAAGAGGTGTTCATGAGTGTGTGTTGCATTCACTGACCTTTTAACCACTTGTCTGCTGCTGCAAGCATTGCATCTCTCTGGGTCCTGTAGAATTCCATTATCCTGGAAGCAAATAAGTAAGTTATTTTAAAGAACAGTGGGGATATGAGTCAGTCATACAACTATTAAATACTACCTCCTATGTAACTCAGCAACAATTTCATTGGAAATTGGTGCTAAGTGCTACTCTGGATCACTCTCCTTATCAATATGGTTTTCTACATGCATTTCAATTTTTTATGTAAGTAAGTAAATAAATAACCTAACAAAGACAACTCAGGAAGGAGGACTTGTAAAACCTCTCAGCCTCTGACTCTGAACCATCTCAACCATCATGGGTTTGAAAGTTTGACTTGGATATTATTTGTTACCCATTATACTTAAGAAAGACCATGAAAACAAGGAGCAGATAGTAAAAACCCAGTGGGAAAATACTGGTGAACAATGGAGCAGTGAGCAGGTAATGAGAAAAATTGAGACATACTGAAAAGTGGATTTTCTAAAATGGAAAAAATAACTATGGCAGATACATTGTACAGCCTGTAGCAGCATAACTTCGGGGTAAGGAACAGCCTTCTGTGTCCAATCTAAGGCCTTATCCAATGTGCACTGAAGACAATGCGTTTTTTTTTCCCATTGACTTTAGTGGGCCCTGGAGCAGACCTATATAAAACATAGGATTATCTTTATCTAGAAAAACTTTTTTTTAAAGTCTCATGAAAGGTTCAATATATCAGAAAATGGTACAAAGGGTTAGTGGATGGTTGTTTTCAACAAATAAAGCTCAGAATTTCATTCCTTTTGTGGATTCATGACTTGATCATAAAGGGAGATTTAATGTGGTTGGGGGGAGGTTTAATATAGACTTTATTAATAGTAATAATAATACATAGCACTTATGTAGCATTTTTTTTATCCACGGATCTCAGGCAACTTTGCAAGAGTAGGAATAATATCCCCATTTATAGATAAGGAGACTCAGGCACAGAATGTTTAAGTGACTTCCCTGAGCAGCAGTAGAGCTGGGACTAGAACCCAGGTATGAAATAAACACAATCACAAACTATATTACCTATCTACATGCTCCAGAAAACCCTTTTGTCCCCATTTGTGAAGAAGTTCTGACATTAGGATCTATGTGTGAGAGAGAGAGAGAGAGGAAAACATCCAAGTTAATGTCATAACCTAAATGCCATAGAGCCAGTTCTGTAAAGCCCATTGACTTCAGTGAGAGTCCCTGTAAGGATTCCACAGATGTACTGGGCTAATAGCCATTCACTTTTCAAAATTGTCCTCTTTTCCACTATTACTACCTGAATGACATGACAGTGTCAAATTCTGTCCTCAGTGACATGCATTGTACGGGTGGAATGGAGGGTGGAATTTAGTCCTTGATGTATAATACCAGTCACATGGTGAGCAGGTCCTGTGTCTAAAGCAGAGGGCTGAAGGTGAGGTGATCTTGGTTCTAATCTCACCTGTACCACATGTCTTATGCGACCGTGGTCAAGTTACTAAAGCTTTTCTGTGCCTTAATTTACAATCTTTAGAATATAGCTAGTAGTAGTAATGTTGTTGAGGCTGTATGCATTACTCTTTGTAAAAAGATCCTCTGTTGGAAAGTGCTTTGTATGACATGCATCACTTCGTGTGCCTATATACAACTGGACAATATAACTCCCAGCACAGCATGATGCACACATCATTGATGAATGCATCCCTGAGAGGCATGTGGAGTGGACTCACTTGCATACATATGGGTGCTTTTCTGCTATTTCTCCTGCTGTGCTGTATGCAAAGCAGGATCAAGCACTTAGTTTTTAAAAACAGTCTGGTCAAATAATTGTGTAACTGTGCAATGGCACTTACCTGTGTGAAAGTGCTGGCTATCGTTGAACTCTGCATATGTAGAATAACTCTGTCAATAAGAGGTTTGGGGCCTGTTAAAAAGCCTAATCTCAACCTAAGAAACAAACAAAAAAAACTATTAATACAAAGATGTACAGTCCACTAATGTTTGTTACATGAATTCAGCATTATCCCTTTGTTAGTATCTGACTGATAGATCACTAAATTTGTGGTGAGTGAATCTTAACCAAATCCAATTGTTCAGTTCTATTATGCATTGTGTAAAATAGCTCTGCCTTGGTTTGATTTATTTATAAAGAGCACAACACAAAATAAAATAAAATACAAAACAAAATAAATTAGCTCATACATAGGGATAGAATTTAAGACTCTGTTGACAGGCTGAGGGACAATGCTTCATGGGAGCACATGCACAGGTTAAATGATAAAAAGCGGCTGATTGAGAGCAGAGGATTCCCAAAACAACAGACTTATTTGCAGAGTTAAAGCAATGAAAGGGTACTCGTTGCTGGCCATTCAAAACTCAGCCAAGAAAGGACAGCCCCTAATCTCCCAAGGAATTTAGAGAGGGGAAAAAATGTCAAAAGCAGCTTTGATGTTTAGGACAAATGGAGAAGACACTGCAACCTGAAGAGTGCTTCACAGGGTTTGGCACCGCAAAGAAAACAAAAAAGGTGTGTGTGGGGGGCAGTAGGGATCACACGGCAATTCTTTGTACATAAGGGCACTCTAATGAGCTGCTCGTCCTTAACTGAGCTTTATGGCATAGCCAAAGTTTGCTTTACAGCATGTGACATTCTAGCTTCAAAATATTTTTGCAGCCATAAAAGTAAAAGATGTGAGACTCTTTTTAATCAGAGCTGTATAGAGGGAATGATAATGTTTTGGTAGAATGGCGCATATCACACAGCATTTTGAAATTGGACTTACCCAGCAGAGATAATTTTAGAAAAAGTGTCACATCTGATCACTCGACCATCAACATCCATTGACAGAAATGATGGTGCCTTAGTCTTTAAATATAAAAAAGTAGCTTATTATGGCCCTTATTTTATTGTGATACTAGAATATGTATATATATACGTATGATATAGTATTGTGATACTAGAATATGACTCACTCTTGTTAACAAGAAAACAAAATACTCTGGACTATATTGTGACTGGCTTTGTGGCAATGAGCACAGCAAGCAACTTCTTTCTCCTTGTGTCCATCCCTGTGCAGGGGCCAGTACAAAGTGATAAGAGTGGGCACTGTATTAAGCTAGTGCAAGTAGTGGCATAAAGTCTCCACAAAGGGCTAGGGAGCAGCAGGATAAGAGCAGGGCCTGGGATGAATCTACGTTAACCATTCTCCTCCACGCTACTTTAGCCAACAGTTGTGGCTGGGTCCAGTGGTGGGTGGAGTGGTACATTTTGTACCTTGTTGAAGTGTGGGTGTGCTCCCACTGTAGGGTGTGCTCCTCTGGAATGAGTGCTATGGACTGAACCTCTCTTAACCATAGACTTGGTATGGCACCATGAGCTAGCATTGGATCCATCTGTATGTACACACACATGTTTACACCCATTCTATATGGGTGCAAACACCCATGTACACACTTAAGCAGTTCTTACGCCTCTATGTGTGCAAGGTTGGATTTTTTCCCCCACGTAAGGACAAGTTGGTTTCAAGGATGCACATTCTATCATTAGCAAGCACTTGGGTGTTAGACTATTTCAAATGTGTATGCATGCATTTGCCCCAACTTTCCCATCATACTAAAGAAAGTTTAAGGTAAGTCATATTTTGGGCCTCTAACCTTTGACAGTGTAGATTTTAATAAATGTCTTTAACTACTGAACTGCAACTCTTTCTGTGTAGGAAAACATTATAGTAGTCCAGTTCAAACCTGAGATTCTCTGTCTGCCAAAACATATGTAAAATGCAAGATGTTTGATTGTTGGGTACAGTGGTCACCTAAACATTTTTATTTAAACATGGACAGCTGAAAATGTATTTCTCCTTGTCAAAGTGACAGCATGTGTGACAGGAATACAAATAAGCACAAGTGAATATTTACCTTTTCAAACTGAAGAAAATAATATGGATCATCTTCTATTATAAGGAAATCATAACATCTTGCAAGCTAAAGAGAGGTCAGATTAAAAAAAGAGGAACAGGTCTTGAAACTGTCAATTATTTGCTGCAATTATTATGTGATATTTTACTATACAGAAGAAGACAGTAGTGTGATCATTGACAAAAGGGTAAACGACAGAGTGGCTCGCTGGGGCTATCATTATCCATGCCACCAGGTATAGGCCATGAAAATGATCACGTAGGATGACAAGGAACAGAAATAGACATATTTGCAGCTGGGGTCTTTTATACTTTCAGTAGGTCCAGAATCAACATGTTATTATGGGGAAAATATTCTAGTTCTGTATTATAAATTGGTTAATAGCAAACAAAACCTTCTCTCTTTATGAAAACTCTGATGATGTCAGGTTCCTACTGAATACCTGGTATATCTTCTTCTTGCAGTCAGCAGTTAATGAGGTTCCAGATGGATTACTACCATTTGGAACGGTGTAGAGGAACTTGGGGAGATTGTTGTTCAGCTTTTTTGCGTCTTCTGGTCTCCACCTGGAAAGAATTTCTTTCAGAGCTTCTGGAATAATACCGTGCTTGTCAGTAGGGACTTTGATAATGTTACAACCCAGTGGTTTCAGCTGTTAATAGAAAGAAGACAGACATGACACACAATCTTGTAGCCCAGTCAGCAGTTCAGAAATAGTCAGTGAAGCCATAGAACTTCTGTGCATGCTTCATCAAAATAATTAAAAATTCTTTACCTTAAATTTGATCTGAAATGAGAAATTGGGGAACTAGATTGACTGACTTCAAACAATCTTAAATGCACATTACAAAACCACTGATGTGGTTACTCATAAGTAATGTGGAAATCTCAAGTTTATGTCCTAAAATCTTTCTCTCAACATAGTCCATATTTTATATATGGTCCCAATTAATGGTCCCACACTCAGCTATATATTTATTTGATTGCTTAATAGAACCAACACTTTCCCCATAAAAAAGATATTACACAGCTATTCCATGCAACAAGCTAACTGAATGCAACAATTAAGGTAGGGAATTGACATGAATAAGTGTGAAAAATTCCAAAAGTGAGGTTCCTACTATAACTTATTTGCATTACTTGTGTATATGCATACATTCACATATAGATAATCTGACAACACACACATGTAATTCAAGTAAGTTACAGTAGGAACCTGATTTTTGCATTTGGTTAGTTTTTTTGCATGGGATATCTTACTTGGATAACAAGTTGCTGGTTCTGCTGGGCTGTCAAATAAATGTATATCTGATGTAGGAGCATTAGCTGTGTAGCTGTTTCTGCGGCTCTCTAGCAGGGCCAGCTCCAGGGTTTTTGCTGCCCCAAGCGGCGACAAAAAAAAAAAAAAAAAAAAGCCACGATCGCGATCTGCGGTGGCAATTCGGTGGGAGGTCCTTCGCTCCAAGCAGGAGTGAGGGACCGTCCGCCGAATTGCTGCCGAATAGCTGGACGTGCCGCCCCCCCCTCCGGAGTGGTCGCCCCAAGCACCTGCTTGGCAAGCTGGTGCCTGGAGCCGGCCCTGCTCTCTAGAAGGATCCCTGAACTCTTCAATACACTCGTCACAGTGTTTTGTTATGCTTCCTCAAGGCACTAGGATCCCTAGCTATCATATAATGAAGAGTACCTTGCAGTGCGGTGTCATTCTTCGCCTCAGTGCAGCCTGACGTATCCCTACAGTTCACGGAAAACTCAAGGCTCAGATAGTCATATAAAAGAACATCCAAGATTGCAAAGTCATTTTCCAAAGGCCAAGCTTCATTTGTGCATGCATCATGCTTTTGCAGGTGCACATATGTATGTGTCCACACTTGGTAGCTGGAAACACCTGTGTCCACACTTTCAGTCAGGGTAGATCAAATGATTTTTGGGGAAAACTTTGTTATTTAAATTGGAAATGTTTGATGTTGCTGTTTTTAAATGGTTTTTCTCTTTTAAAATAAACATGTTTAAAATGAAATCTGAATTTAATACAAAATATGTTAAGGCTTGAACTTGTTATAATTTAGCTGTAAATGGGAAACATGTTTTGAGAAGAGAAGTTTATTTACCCAGAATGTAAAGGTGGTTTTGTATAATAAACCTAAATGTTATATGCTGTTTTGTGTGTTTTAATTAAATCCCAGTTACCACCCTAATGCAGCTTGACATAAATCATGAGCAGAAGTTAATTATCTGGTAAATAAGCAAATAAGTCACCGTTTTCTAATATATTTAAAATGTAGAGTAAAGAATCTGAAAACTTACAATGTACTGTCCTATGTAGCAAAAATATGTACCAAATCTAGCTGTAAATGAACATGTTTTAATGGTCATATCAACCCCTGAGAATTAACCTTTCTTTAGAAAATAACTGAAGTTCAAATGGAAAAGTTGATTAAAATCAGTTATTTAAATTGAGGCTTTCCATTGGGTGATGTAAATCAATCCACCCTGCTTTCAAGAGTCAAAAACCTGTTTATACATGTTAAACTTACACCTTCAAAATCCATTGGCCTTGAAAGTCAAGTGAATGCATATATTACATGTGCCTAATTTTGTATGTGCACAGGTGGAGGCCTGAAAGAGATCCTATTCAAAATGTACCCATGACTACTGAAATACAGATGGGTCTCTGCTGCAATATATAACTTGCCAGATATCCATAGATGTGGCCCACATGTGATGCATACTTAAATCAGTGAGAGAAATCACATATTGCAAACTTTCCCTCTTCATCTTGACTTTAGGAGGAACTTTGCACTGCTTTGCAGACATAACCAATACTCACTGCTGACAGAGTCCTTGAGTAGCTGGGGTCTTCTAAAAGGACATTATCTCCAGGATTGACAAGCATATCAAACACCTGCCCAATAAGAATAATTTATTTTACAACAGTCTGACCTTTCCTCCTGAATATTATACACATTGCTATATACTCTGGTTGGATTATCTGTATTGATTACATCAGTGGCTCTCAACCTTTCCAGACTACTGTACCCCATTCAGGAGTCTGATTTGTCCAGCATACCCCCAAGTTTCACCTCACTTAAAAATGACTTGCTTTCAAAATCAGACATAAAAATACAAAAATGTCACAGCACACTATCACTAAAAAATTGCTTACTTTCTCATTTTTACCATATAATTATAAAATAAGTCAATTGGAATATAAATAGAAACCAAGAAAAAGAAACCAAGGCCTGCTTATCTTATCCATGCATATAGCCTTCACTCACACAAGTTATCCTACGATTTTAATCAGGCTACTGCTGTGAATAAGGCAAGTACAAACAGAATCAGAGTGTGAAATCCTGGACCCATGGAAGCCAATGGAAATTTTGCAATTGACTTCAATAGGGACAGGATTTCACCCATGCTGGATAATTATTCCCTTGTATAAAAGATGTATAATAAACTAGCACTTTTTTCAATTCAAAATTAGTTGCTTAAGTGAAAACATGTTTAAAGCTTTCGTGCCATTGAACAAAAAATCTAACAAATTAAACACACTTCTTCATACAGGTAGCAGATCTGTGTTTATTAATATTTCAGTGTTAGGGGAAGGTTATATTACTTGAAATGGAGTGAAGGGAATCAACAAAGGGCTATGTTCCCTGTGAACTAAACTTTGTAGATATAATTAATAAACTATATAGTTTATGTAGCATTGCCATGCCAGTACCGATTCTCTTTTCAGTCTTACTTTAGACAAGCCGTCCTGGCTGCCAGTGGTGACACATATCTCCATTTGGCCCTGATCAGGACTGTACTTGGCAGTGGGAGGATTGTGGAGACTCATCTGTAAATCCTTTAGCCAGGACAAGAACTCTGGAATTCTGAACAGAAGTTTCATTCCTTTATTCTTCATTTGTATCCATAACACTTTATAAAGTACAGAGACATTTACTCAGAAGCATCCCTTTGCAGCCCTGATGCAGCATGATTTCTGAACAACCTGTGTGTAGCTATTGTTAAATAAAAAGGATTATGGATCGAATCCTGAAGTGCTTACTTTAGAGACTGATCCTGCACATCCTTACTATCATGATTAGTTCTTACTCTTATAAGTAGTTCCATCACTGTCTTAAATGAGACTGTGCATTAGCTAGAGATTGCAGGATTAGTTTTCAGTTTTCACTAAGGAAAATGCTCATGAATTTAAATGAACCTCTTGTTGTTTCATCTGACAGATAAGTGTTCAGAAATGAAAACCAAAGTAGGTCATACTTGGAATGAAACATTTTCCTATTGAAAGAGGGGGTTGTTGAAATTTTCCACAGGAAAAGAAAACTTTCTTAAGAATTATCTGTCAGCAAAATTGAAATGAAGTATTTTGTCTCAGGTCAGGTGAACATTAATTTCTGTGTCCGCCTATGTCACCATGGTACCTGATGGGAGCTGTATTTTCAGGCCCCTTATGCCCCTATTCTCCCTAATAGGACAGGCTTCCTTGCCAGAGTCCATCTTTCAGGATTCATCACAATCTCGCCCTGTGGCTGAATCCAAACAAAAAAAATTCAGAATGTTTCATTCTGTGAAAAGGTTAAATATTTTGAATTTTTTGCCCAATTTGTAATGAAAAGATTGAAATATCAGAATTCTCGATGGAGCAGAAATTCTATATTTTGATAGGCTCAGTCCTTACAATAAAAGAACAGGTTGATGGACACAATGAAACAATTCAGTTTTCCTTATTGAATAATGGATTATTGAAAAATTATTTGAAAAATGAACAATGAACCAGTTTACATTGAAGATTAAAATACAATCACTTAAACTCAATCTCTCCAAGTAAATGGGTATTGTATTAAAAAGATCAGCTCTTTTTATTAATCTTGGACCTGATACTAAATTGATTAAGAAATGTCACGTCGCTTTTGAAAACTACCCTTTTGTGGAGGAATACTGGAGGGCTCTCTTCATTAATGCCTCCCCAATTTCAATAGTGGTTCCATCTTCAAGAGTGAAACTTGCTGTTTTAAATGGGAAATAGTTAGGATTTGGCAGGCCTCCAGAGATCATGATTACTGAGGGGTTCTTCTGTGCCAAACTACCTGTAGTGAACATAAGGAAGAAATCATCTATTGGAGATTGCACACTGCAAGGAATAGAGAATGCACTCTTACAGGGTGTTCAACTCTATTTAATACATTATAGTCAAATGTTAAAGTAAATATGTGGTGTTCTTGATTCACAGTGAGATACATTGTTTTCCTGTGAGAACAATACTTCTCATTTGTTCTCTCTTGCTCAATATTTATCTTCTAAAGGTTTTTGCTTGCTGCCAGTAAATAAAAATGTCATGTTTTTGTGAAGAGTAGTAGAAATACCAATACCATCATAGTTTTTTTTACAAATTGTCAGCTATGACTTGGACATACATGAAATATTAGCTATAAAATATTAGAGATGGACTGAGTTGCTAAATTTGGATCTAGGTTTGAACTTCTCTGAAATCTGGAAGCATCTCATGTCTGGGGTTTGGTTTAGTTCCTTCTCTACTAATTTCTAGATAGATGATCTTACTCTTTTAAAGTTACAAAGAACAACTCTGTGCAAAGGCTGACTTGGGGATGGAACATTTTCATTTACTAACTGCTGTCAGGAGCTACTGTAGTTGAAGCTACTGTTTGTCCAGGTAGTTTAGCACAAACTTTTTGAAATAAACTGTAGGCATCTCTTTGGATTACATGCTTCATGATGCTCTCCAGGTTTCAAGCATGGAAAATGAAGGATCTAATACACCACCACAATTTTGTTAAGTAAGTATCACTTTAGTAATGAGAATTTCTCTGTGTATACTGTAAAATAAGAGTTTAACTTTATTACCTTTCAGTACTTTTCCAGTAAAAAAGAAATAGCTTCCTATTCAGTTTATTTGGTGCTCCAAAATCAGCCAAATTCTGCTAAATTTAAAGAGTTCTTCACCCACAAAAACCCAATTCCAGAGGTAACTGCGGAAGTCTCTTACTATTAATATATAGTCCTAGAACTATAGAATGAATGAATGTTTCAGTTTCTCTGCTTTGAGTCACACTGACTTCCATTGGGTGGAATGAGAACTGATTTAAAGCTTGAGATGAAAATTTCACTTGCCTGATAACAGCACTCCACAAAGACTTTAAAAATACCCCAAGTAGCATCCTAGTCATTACCCTCAAATCTTTTGGATATAACTTCCAATGTTCAGCTGAGTTATCCTTGTTGATCACAGAAAAGAAGCCAATAATACATGGAAGACATCAGTTAGGTTAGGGGAAATATTTTGTACTCACCTATAACTTCTGTAAGATTTTCCTCTCTTGCTGCACTTACTACTGAGAGAAATTGGGAGTAGTCCATGCTGGTGATACAAAAAGCAACCTAGTTCTCTGGGTCTATCAGGCAATTGGTATAGAAAAGGAAACAAAGGGAAAGCATTTTACTCTTCAGTACATGTCTGATTTGTTTTCTAAATGCAATGAATAATCATGCAATGTTTAGCTTCTGCCTTCTTGGTTGTTCCACAGTTTATGCTAACTTTGAAAACAAAAGAAAAAATCCCCTTGCAGAATACTTTTACAGAGGAGTTGTCATAACTATAAAGGGAAGGGTAACAGCTGTCCTGTGTACAGTACTATAAAATCCCTCCTGGCCAGAGACTCCAAAATCCTTTTCCCTGTAAAGGGTTAAGAAGCTCAGGTAACCTGGCTGGCATCTGACCTAAAGGACCAATAAGGGGACAAGATACTTTCAAATCTTGGGGCGGGGGGGGGGAAGGCTTTTGTTTGTGTTCTTGGTTTTGGGAGTGTGTTCGTTCTCGGGACTGAGAGGGACCAGACATCAATCCAGGTTCTCCACATCTTTCTAAACAAGTCTCTCCTATTTCAAACTTGTAAGTAAATAGCCAGGCAAGGCGTGTTAGTTTTCCTTTGTTTTCTCAACTTGTAAATGTACCTTTTACTAGAGTGTTTATCTTTGTTTGCTGTACTTTGAACCTGAAACTAGAGGGAAGTCCTCTGAGCTCTTTAAGTTTGATTACCCTGTAAGGTTAATTTCCATACTGATTTTACAGAAATGATTTTTACCTTTTTTTCTTTAATTAAAAGCTTTCTTTTTAGAACCTGATTGATTTTTCCTTGTTTTAAGATCCAAGGGGTTTGGATCTTGATTC